TCTTCTAAACAGATATTAGTAGTTCGGGCTCTAAATAGAGATGGAAACGGAATGTGGTGAGAGTTGAGAGGGGCGTATCAGCTTATGACACCTGCAACAAAACATTTAGAATTAATGGAACTATTGTGGGTTTAGAAATGCAGCAAAGCACCAGAGTCGGTCTCTGCTTGGAGGATCTCCAAATTAACCAGTCCTTACGGCTACCGAACACTGTAGTGTCTTTAAAGCAGAGATCTACGCTATAGAAAAGTTGGCTAGTCTCTTACTGAATAGCACGAACCAATCGCTTTTGCACAATGGAAAATAATTTTTTTTCGTGGGAAAAAAAAAACCAACATGCTTTCCTCAAAATTTCAAACTTTTTATTCAGAATTATGGAAAAAATAGGAAGCAGTTTTATAGCCCATTTAATTTTAGTACGATAGAGTACAAATTCGAAGTGGCTCAGAACTCGTATTGATTCACCATACTGACGTGGAACTCGTCCCTTTTCTGCGGCAAATTGGGTAAACGTACATACATAAGTATGTATGTATGAACTTACCCAATAAACATTGGGCTTGATTAACAATTCGAAAATGATTGGAAAACGAATTTTTTTATTCAAGTCTCAACTTCGATAATTATAATGAGTGTGAAATATGTATGTAGGTTAGTATTCGATTCGAGAACTAGGCCATTGCCCAGAAAAACGGAGCCTTTGTTATCCGATGTATTTTCCTTTCGCTACAAATTCGAATTGAAATTTTAATGACAGATAGGGATTGTCTTTCATTTCCCTTCGAGAATGATCTGGGTTTCACTTTCTCTCCTTTTTCTATGGTTCTCATTTGTTTTTTCGAAAGCATTTCGAGAGTATTTCCAATATACTATGAACGTTGGACAACTAAGTTTGGTTATGAAATCGTTCTCAGTTCGATATTCATATTGGATATCGAGGGTCATTTTCGAACGTTCGCCACAATGTTTATTGGGTATATTCATATACGCATATATGAGAGTATCAGTCATATTCAAGATTTCATGGTAAACGTGCGATAGAACATTATTAAAAAATGTGATATCATAACAATAATAATCTCACATGTGTATAACATAAGTTTGTTATGAAGTTCACAAGATCTTCGTTGTTGGTCGGTCCATCTCTCGAGAGTATCTCAAGTCATTCGGCTCTCCAAGGCTCATCAGCGACAATTACGATGCCTATAAGTATCGGCATGTCGGACGTTAGCCGACAAGACAAAACAGATGGTTGCAAACTTGAAGGGAGAGTCGCGACAGCCTTTCGACACTTTGATAACTTCAGTTTAAAACAAGAGGAATGTTTGTCACCCCCAAGAAGCAGTGATCAATCATAATGGTCGCTCTTGAATGATCCACCTACAGGCAGGGCTGCCAACTTGGTTCAAACCGTGCCATTTTTGGCCCTGTTTTACTTCTAATGGCACTTAACTAGGATTCCAGACGCTTGGACTTAGATTTAAGGTCTACCGTCATTTTTAGTGATATGCCAAAGCGGAATTCACGTACTTTAAAGACTTCTCACTGAACTTCAGCATGCGGTCCTCAGACCCATTTGACCGTATTAACAGCTATAAAAGAGGCCGCCCTATGTCCCAACTTCTCCAAACAGCGTTGCCATTTACTCTGACAGGCAAACAGGGTTAGATCTCTTCAGTGCATCACCACTTCTTCGGCAGAGGCTGCCGAATGTAAGAAGACTCTAAACGAGTTAACTGGGAATGTTACCATTAACGTGGTATGGATACCCAGGCACAGTGAAATACCTGGAAACTGCACGGCAGACGAGTTCGGAAGGCTGGCAACCGGCATACCCTCAGTTAACTCTGCGCGTGATGCGCGGTTCTCTCTGTTTTCTCGCAAAATGCAAAAAGATGGGCGAAGGCAATCCATCTGTTTCTTTACTAAACAGATCTAAACCAGTATTAACGTCAAAATACCTATGAAACTTATAGATACATCTGCCTCCTTGAAAGCTTGGGGAACAAAGGAAACTAAGTGAACGGATAAACTGTCAATAATTTGACCTTTTACCTTTAATTTTACCTTTTTAGCGATGGTTTCGGGAGTCCAATTTGGATTTTCCTTAAAAAGTCTAACAATTTTTTCACCCTTTTCTTCACTCATTTCGAAATCAAAACTTATCAGATGACCTTAAATCTTTGCAGACTTGTTAAGGAATGACTGGCTTCTTTTTAACTGTCTTTTTCACAGGGTATAACCTTTTCTAATCTTTTTTTTTTGAAAACCAATTTAAGCTGATGCCACATAAACATTTGATTCGCTTTGCGCGATAGAAAAAGAGGATACCTGAAAATGAGACGTGAAAAAGATGATACCTTGTATAATCTTTTGTAAATTAACATTTTTGTCTTGGAGGGATTTACATTGAGTCCACATTCCTTAGACATACATAGACCGCTCAGTAACAGCTTACCTAAAAACTGGATATACCTTTTCGCTACTGAACTATCGAATAACTTAAGATCAGGCAGCCTGCTAACTTGTGATTCCTGCAGTCTCAGAAAAACTGTGCTATAACAATAAGATCGTAGAGAAAACGGGGAAGGACTCCTTGAGGGTAGCATGGTGTGTGATGATCGTGCTACCCTACTTGGAGATAATAGCCGTTTACTGAATGAGGGGTCTTATAAATACCAGCAGGGAAAACCAAGGTGGAATTCAAGTAATGGTTCGAGCCACGTTTCTTTTTTTTATGTAGAATATTCATTCTGGCATTCGCTAGACGCCATCAATAAGAAGTTTTAAGAAAAAATTATAATTTGAACACTAAAAATAATCTACATTAAGCATATGGTGGTCTTACATTTGCATATTTCGATGCTATTGCAAATTCGCTTTCATTTAGAGCAATAAAGTAAGACCAGAATCAAGAACTTGTTTTTTTAATTAGTCCCGAAATTATACTATTTTTTTATATTTTTCATTTGGAATAAATAGAAAGTAAAATAATTTAAATTGATTTAAATTCAAAGTGTATCAAGTTTAATCAGTAAATGAAGAATACTGAAAGCGGTTTAATAAGGCGCGTGCCGACTTTTTCAAAACTAGGTAACATTGGATTCTCAGTTTTTTTCAAATCACATCTGGCTTCTTGCTCGCAAAATAAAAAAATTCTTGCACAGTCGAAAGAGCAAAACCCAAAAAAGTGATTGCCACACAAGTTTCGATTAAATTAATTAACATAAGCCTCCACATTGTTCGGAAGTGCAACTAGTACTTGGAACTTTTCATAATTTTAAGCTCTTCAACGTTTGTTCATCCAACTGAAGGAATGCATATCTTGCAATTGAATATTCGATTACAAGCAAACGTGCTTACATACATACAGATGTTCATATGTAATACTTTTGCAATGAATTTGGTGAAGGGAAGTATGAGGAAATGGCGCTTTGTCGTTGGCCAATCGACCTACTGAGTAGGAAATGCAAGCGAAACGCCGAAATATCGCGTGTGCGATGTTCGCAAAAGGCAAGTCAATTTTGAAATCGCACTATTCATAGATATGGGTATATTAGTAGGAATACATACGTATGTAAGTGTTTGTGTTGCAAAACGAGTAAATTCGAATAAGAAAAAAAGTAGAAATCTAAAAGTGTGCAAACCAGAATATAATTGATTGGTGCCTTTCCGCCATTTCAAGGAAATTCATTTACGGACTTGGCTTGGCAAAAATTGGCAATTTTAAAGCATAAAGAGAACATGTAACTATATACATATATATATTTTTCATGTACTTTGCAATAAGCAGTTGGATAAAAACGGCAAAGCTAAATTAAAAAACACCTACAATACTTTGCTGGTGATTAATGTGTAGCAGTCAAACGTAAAAGAACTTAAAAATAACTGAGTTATTAAAAGCGAGCGCGGATAATAAAAAAGCGAAAAAATAGATTACTTTTTTGTTTGTTTTGTAAATCAAAAGTCAACGCTGCGAGTTCAAAGCCCACCTACGCCCACTAAAATCGAAGCATAGCCGCCGCAACAGCTGAACGTAATGGAAGTCGCCGGAAAACATACATTTTTAGTTCAGCTCAGAACTTTTAGCTAATCTCCTGCGTCGCGCCGCGCCTCGTTGCGACCTGTTGCGCTTGCTTCAGACAAAACACTCAGCGCGTTATCTTTTGTTTGATATTTCGTTGCAATTTCGTATTCAAGAGTAGTGGAAATGGGTATAAACATGAAAATAATATTTTTGTGACATGAAATTTTTAGTATATGTACATAAGTTGTTGTAGAAATGTGTGTAACTATGAAAGCGCTGTGACAGCAAGCACTTAAAAATGAACGCTTAATTTGGGAACAGTTAATTGGCCTTGATTGCGTTAAAAGCTAAGTATGTATTTTGGTACAAATTTTGATTGTCTTTTTGTTTTCTTTCGTTCAATGTTCGCTCTCGACCATATTGAGGGCCATAATCCCCAAATGTGTTCATGCGACACTCAACGGTGTGAGAAGAAGCAAGTTTTTTTTTATCGACAACGCAGAGTTTACAAAGGGGCGTTTTTTATAACTATTTCCGCAGATAGGGAAATCACAAAGTAGCTCCAAACCGCACCAATTTACTGCATACTGCGATAATGTTATTGAACTTTTAATTGTATGTCGACAATTATGTGAGCGCTCACAACTTTTTTGTATAATTAATTGCTTCTGTCTTTTGCTGTAATCAAATATTGAGAGTCCTCAATGAAAGCTAGATATTTTCAATTNCTGCGATAATGTTATTGAACTTTTAATTGTATGTCGACAATTATGTGAGCGCTCACAACTTTTTTGTATAATTAATTGCTTCTGTCTTTAGCTGTAATCAAATATTGAGAGTCCTCAATGAAAGCTAGATATTTTCAATTTCAAGCGCAACCGTTGCGCGCCTACATTAAACTATCCACAAAAGTAAATCTTAAAGGTTTATATAACAACAAAATTATAAATAAAAAAAATAAAAAATCGCTTACCGCCTGATACACTTAAGCGCTTGCGCGCATCACGCTTTGAATATAGGAAATGCTGCAGTCCCAATCCGGCGCTGGACTTCTTTCCACTCAATGAGGCACTGGCGCGACTCGCCAGACCCGGTGACCGATAACGCGCGCTCTTCGCACTTCCACTGGCGCTAAAATTCAGTGCGCCTTGTGACTTGGCGAGCGGTGTCGAGCTGGCCATCGGCGTTTGCACTGCACTCATGCCCACTGTCGTTCCAGTCGCCGTCGCGCCCGTACTTGTGGTGGGCAAACGTGGCAACGAATTGGTGCTCGCCACTTGAGCTACTCCTGTAAGACTGCGTGGCAGCGTGGAGCGTGCACCGAAGGCATCCTCATCGGATGAGTCCGATTCGTAAATGGCATCTGGCACGCTTGAACGTCGCACATCTTTGCAATCGATGGACGTGACCCAAGGTTTGGCGGGGCAGGCCTCCAATTCTTGGTGTCTTTCATCGCCACCGCCTATGCTGCCGCACGAGCGCACACGATCCAATTGCTCGCGACTCATACTCTTGTGGTTGAACAACAGATCACCTGCCGAACGACGCTTTGCAACGGCCAAAGCGGACGCAGACGATGAGTTGTCACGATCGAGTTGACTGAGTTTGGTTCTGGAATCGCCATTAGCCAGTAATGCCGACTCAAAACTACCGCGCCACGAGAAACGTTCATAATCGCTGGCAACGCCACACTCCTCGCCGGCGGTGTCGCTAACACCGCTGCTCGATTGATGGTGGTGTGGTCGCGTCGCACTTGCACTGCTACCGCTTACATTGCTACAAGCTGCCGATGTGGAGGCTGAGTCGAGCAGCAGATCGTGTGACTTGCTACGTGCGAGACTGTTTGCATCGTCCTGCAGCGCTTTGTTGGACTTTGACTGATGCGGCAAATGGTGCGGATGATGCAGATTGTGTTGATAAGTGGAATGTTGGTGGTTGGTGGCTGTCGAGTGATGTGTGCGCGCCGACTTCGTTTGATCACTTTCCGAGGGGCTTTCTTCTTCATCCTCCGTGGTGGTTATGGATATTTTCGCTTGTAGTCGTTTATGGTGGTTGCGTTGTGGCACAATTGGCGAGTTAGTGCCGTGAGAATCGTTGCCACTATTCACCTCGTGCATAAGCGCGACAAGACGTGTACCGATGTGTTGCATTACTTTGGCGAACAGCTGTGGAGAACGGTCGGTGCTGTGTGTGCTTCCGGTTGAAATTTGATCCTCTTCTACATTGCGTTTTTCTGCATTATTCTCTGGGTTGGTCGGTGGAAGCTCTTCCGTAGTTTGCACTGTGGCAGTGTTGTTTGCATTTCCCACAGCAATTTTCGAGAATGAAGCAACCAATTTTTGATATACCAGCGCAGTGTCTGGGCTTAGGCCGTGAGTTTCTACTTCGAGTAGGCCACCATCCCCCCTATCACCTTCCTCGTCGATCTCAAACTTGTTTATGATTTGTTGGCAGCTCGCCGATATCTGCTCCTTTAGTTCACCTTTTCGGCGATTGCTGCCTTCGAGGTCAGAGCTTGTATAATCGGAAGAGTCACATGAGTCTGACCATGTGTCTTCACTACTTAAATATTCGACGATTTCACGCACCTGCTCATCATTTATTCCCGGCACAGTTTTCATCAGTCTAGTCAGCTCGTTCTCAAAGTAAGCTAGGTGCGGTCTAGACTTCATGCGTCTAACCGAAACAGGTGTCGTCTGATTTGGTGTTGTGCCCTTTGAGTTATTGGAAGAGCCAATATTTTGCTGTGCATTAGCAGTGGCGACCACAAGGGTTTTGAAGAATTGACGCATCTTAGACATCATCAGGTTTGTCTCTTCATCAGAGCTCCAATTGTTAAAACTATCCTTTCGCACCAAACTTGCATTGCCGGCGGGTGGCAGTGGTGGTTTTAGTGTTAGCCCGTCCGCTTTCAGAGTTGAGGATGTGTCTTGCGGCGTAGTAATGCGCACTTCTGGCACAACGATAGCTGAACTAGATGTAGCCAGTGACGCTTCCTTTACCTCCTCGATTTGTTGCAGTGAAGTAGGCGATTTGGTGCGTGCCGCAGCAGCGCTTGTCGTGGGCAATTCGTTATCAGGCGATTTTAGGAGATCATCATTGCTGCCAACAAAACCACTATCGCGGCTGTGATGTTGCTGTTTCTTCGCTTGGGAATTACTGATTGAACCAGGTGTGGGTGTGCGGCATTCCGCATTCGATGCAGAAGGTTTGCTCGTATCCTCTGCAGAGTCATGCAACTTCTTTTCATCCAGCGAGTCGTGACGTTTGCGCACCTGCTTCTTTCGTTTTATCGTATCCGAAGAAGCGCTGTCGAAGGTCTTCTCGCCACTGCTGCTCACATGCAGCACAGTCTCATCACATGCTTCCGATTCGGAAGAGTCCAATAGATCGCTGGTGGTTGAGGGCATGAGACTCGGTTCCAGTGAATCGGCAGGCATGGATTGCGAATCGACCAACAGATTGTCCAAAGAGGAATTATGTGAACGTGGAGTACCACGTGCGCGTACTAAACGTTTACGGCGCTGACTTGGGCTAGGATGACCTTCACTATCGCTACCCACGCTGCCACTCTCATCTGATTCATTCTTCTCGCTTGCGCTGAAACCCATGAAGCCGGATAGGAAATATTTTTCCAGGCGCGATGAAGCCAGCTCTGCGGCACTATTACTATCGTTAGCATTCTCTTCTGGCATGCCCAACGAATCTAAGCCTTCTGAGCACTCACTACTCACCTCAGACGCCGTATCGTCGCCACGCGTATCTATCGAACTCATCACTTTGCCATCACCCAGATCGAAGAAGAAATACTTTTCCAAATCAGAAGCAGACAAGCGATTATGATGATTGATAGTCTGCTGCCTTCGTCGCTCCATCTCATCCAGCTCTTCGCTACCGTCTTCAGTGCCGCGCAGCGATGCGACCTCGCTTTCCTCACAACTTTCCTCTACTATCGTATGCAAAGTGAAATCAATTGTGGAACGGTGATAGCCACGCAGCTCTTCTTCACGATCAACAAACATGCCATTTGCTGAAACGGTGTCATCTCCATCCATACTTAAATCTTCTGAATCGGATGCAGTTGGCGTGGTGTCGTCACCGAAATCTTCATCGCCATGATGGCTTATCTCCTCCACCCAGGAGTCATCATCCGCTAAGCCATCTTCAAGACATCCCGCTTTGGTTTTAGAATCTCGAGTATCCTCCAAAAAATCACCATCATCATCCGCGCCCGCTCTACTGCTGCGACCACTGCCACGGCCATTTGAGAGGTTATCGAAATCTTCTTCTTCTGAATCACCGTAGATGATCTTTTGATCGCGCAGCAAATCAACTGTGTTCACTGGATAATGCGTCCCTTCACTCGTGGTGCTCGTATCGTAAGACAGCGTCACCTTGCTATTATTGTAGTGCTTGTTGGTCATCGTTTTGCGAACAGCTGGCGATATATACAACAACGACGACGAAGAGGAAGGTGCTTTCGATGAGTCATAACCACCTGGAGTGTGGTTATTGTCGCTGGGGCTGCTAGCATTTCTTGTGGCTGTGCTGCGCGTGTCACTAAAACTTGTTCTTTGCATAGCTGCTGTAGTGCGGGGGAAATTACTATCTTGATTTGCATGGCTGGCATTGCTGTTCTGCTCATTCGCCTCATAACCAGTCAATCGTATAATACTACCACCATTCGCGCTGCTACCAACACAATCAGCGCCATCGACTACACCACCACCATTCCCAATACTGCCAACGTCGCTGTGTCGGTGGTTATCATATGTTTGTACGGCTTGTTTGACACGTGTCGCGGCGGACTCTATAGTGGTTATTGTTGTTGTAGTGGTGGTGGTGGTGGTTGTGCTTCCCAAATGCGCTTTGTCCGAAATTGCACCGCTGCTGTGGTTGCTGGCTAGCAGGTCATTGCCGTTACCAATTTGGCCGTTGTCTTTTGTAATCATAATTAAGCTGCGATATTTGGCCGAAAGTGAAGTGGTGGAAGAGGGTGTGGAGGGAGCGTGGATGGATGAATTGGAGTTGAATTTCGTGCAAGTTGTGGGTGCGGCCACGCCACCAAAAATACTATCGAATTGAGTGCTACCACTGCAGGTTTCGTTGTTGACGCTAAAATAGGGTGCGTAACTGGCATGTATGGCCTCTGTTACCGTAGTTGCTCCTTCCTTCGCGCCCGCTTCCACTTTACCGCAGTCAGCGCGCTTGAATATATCCAGTTTGCTCGAGGACGTTGCGAATCGCGTTTGTTTTTGTTGTTCTTCCGCAGCTTTTACGTGCATATAATCACTATCTGTAATATTCTTAGTAGCGCGGTCTGTTTGCCCCACGAAATCGCCGTAACCGCGTTCACGTTTACGCTCGCGCTCGGTGTCGTAGTCTTTTTCGTTTGCGTTTTCTATTATTTGATTATTCACTACTACCACTTTGGCGTTTATTTTATGGCAAGCGCTCGTAACACTTTTATCGTTGTTGCTGTTATTTTCAATTTTGCATGCCTTTTGTTGGCTTTCGTTGTCGTCGTCGCAAACACTTTGTACCGCTTCGCGCTGTTCAACACTAGCTACACACGCGCGCACACTGTTATTACCAATTTGTGTAATATCTTTTAACTCGCTTTGTGCTTCTTCAAGCGATCTATCAACACCATCGATGTATTCTTTTTCTTTCGATTGCGCTTCTGCACTTTGCTTGCCACGNGTTACCAATTTGTGTAATATCTTTTAACTCGTTTTGTGCTTCTTCAAGCGATTTATCAACACCCTCGATGTATTCTTTTTCTTTCGATTGCGCTTCTGCACTTTGCTTGCCACGAATTTGTAAAACTGCACTACCACTTTGTGTAGTATTTAGCAAAACATTACCATTATTATCTTCACTATCTTCACAGCCGTCATCGCCGCCGCGGTCTTTCACGCTTAACATTTCATTTTCAACTAAACGCAGCGAGTTGGCCAATATCTGAGCGGACGCTGCGCGCACGGCTTCCACGGCCGTATTCGCTACCATAACGTTAGTTCGGCTAGAGCGCGTCGTCACGATGTTAGCCAATTTATTGTCTGCTTGCTTGTTGTTGTTGCTGTTGAGTTTAGTGACGTTTGCACGTTCGTGCTCTTCCAAGTTGTGAATTATTGGCTTTGTTGATGTTTCTGGCATTGCTGCTTTGACCGCGTCATCCGCGCCGCTCTTACAATCGTTAGGTTGCTCTTGTACCGTTTCAACGATTCGCAATGTCTGCTCTTCAGCTACCTGCGCGCTCAATGTAGGCAGCGTGGTGCGCTCTTTGCTTTCCAATGCTGGATGCCAAACCTCTGTTGCAGTTGACTCTAACTTGTTTGCAGCTGTGTAAACATTTTGCTCAGGTGTTTTATGCTTTTGCTCATCGCTATCAGCGTATGCCATTTTCGTTGCTGTTATATTAGTTAAAAGCGTTGGCATACTCGTCGCCTCTAACGAGTCCATGAAACAGCCGGAGAGTGATTGAAGTGGCGGTAGTTCATTAGCTGTTTTGCATGCTTCACTGATCCGTCCCAGCCATGCTGGCCGCTGTTCTTCTTCTCCTTCGCTTTCGAAATTATGTTTCATACTTGTGCGTTGCCCAGCTGTTATGCATTTTACTACCTGTTTTTGTGTTTCATTCGTGGCCGACGTTGCTGGGCTGTCGCTTGTTGGGTGAAGCGTCCGCGCGCCCACCTCTTCATCCACTGTTCTATTTTCATTGTCATAATCTTTTTTGTCTGCTATTTCTCTGCATACATCTGTTTCTTGTTGCTCCGTATACGCGCACATTGTTTTCGTTACGATAGTTTGATTTTCTCTTGAGTTTGCTGCTTTAGTGCTGTTATCCGCATTTACGTTTTGTGACCACTTTTTGTTTTCATCACAAACAACTTGATTGTCGTCATTCGTCACGCTAGTGTCGTGAGTGCATTGCTGTTTTTGTTGTTGCAATTCCTTTTGTTCTCCATCTAGTGCTTCGCATTCAACAGAACCACTCAGGTGCTTCTCGGAAGTACCTGCAGTAACTTCAGAGGCACTGAAGCGGCGCGACGATGACTGGCAAGCATTGAGCTGGTCAGCGGTTTGCACCTTTTGTTGTTTGTTTTCTTGCTGAACAGGCACTTTTTCTTGTTGATGCATTTCAGACGCTGTTTCTTCCACCTTTGTATGCTCCTGTCTAGAGCTATGTGTATTTTGCATTAGCGCTGCGTTTTCGTTGTTCGATTCGTTGTTTTTGTTGCTAAGTATGCACTCTACAGTCATCTCTGACCCTGCAGTACCAGTGCGCCTTTCCAAGGGCGCACTCTCCTCCTTATTCTGCTCACCCTGCTTGTGCTCGATAACTTTTTCCTTTGTTACCAAAATGTTGGCTTCTTCAGTTCTTGTTCTAATTATTTCTGTGTTTGTTGTACGCCATCCTGTTTGCCAAGTATTGTTAGTCTCATCCTCAAGCATATCGCCCTCATCTTGTTGCTTTTCGTGTTCTCGTGTTTCGTTGCCGCGTGCAAAACCCGCGGCGAAAACTACCCGCGCCTGACTCTCCGCAGCCTCGTCAGCAAGGTGCGCGCCTGTACTCATTGCATCATCATTGCTTCCATCAACAACAAAAGCAGCGTCGTCGCTATTGTTTGCTTGCTTATTGTTCTGCTGTGAGCTATTGTCGTCATCACTTGAGCCGCGCTCAGGTGCACCCGCCGATTTAGAAGAAGACTGTGAAGTGCTATGCGGCGCGTTTGTAGTAGCGGATGCGTTACCCCCCAACATCTTGCCGATAAGTTCACCTTCCCTTCTATCTAACACCGCCAAATGGTCTTGGTTAATTTCTTCTACACCGCGCCGTAGTTTTTGTAATTTCATTTCGAGCTCTGAATTCTGTTTTGTCAGCGCAAGTAAGCGATTTACGTCGTTTGAAATACTATGCAACTCATCGCATGCTTCTTGCGTGTCTATTTCCCAATCAGGTGCAGTTGGTGGGGAGCTTGCACCATCAGCGCATACAAATGGTTTCGCCGCACCATCGGGTGTTCGTGTTGTTGGTGCGCCGAGATCGAACGAAATCAGTGGCGTATCGGTTGTGGCATGTTTTGTAGTTGCATGAGTTGCAACAGCTGTTTTGTTATCTGTATCTGTTTTTGTTTCTTTTTCATTTTCGGCTGCCATTGCAGCTAATTCAGTGCTTGTTGTTGCTGTTGCCAACACTGCAGTTTCGCTAGCCGCTGTTTTTAATTGCTCTGATTGTTGCGTTGTGCGATGATTTGATTTATTCCACTGCAGTTTGCTTTCTTTAATATTTGTATTGGCTGTACTTTTGTTGTTTGTATTATTGTTGCCATTGGCACTTGCCATGTCTGCCATACTTGCCACTTTCTGGTTAACTGTGCCACCAACACCGCGCGACGCTCTATTACTATTGCCCGACGCTGCGGCCTGTTTACGTTTACGATCGCGCTCGCGTTCGTCCAACACCTGCCGCTCCGCCTCTTCGTCGTTCAGCAGTCGTATTGCATGCAATACCACGCCACCGTTGCCGCTAGTATCATCAGTTTCCCCGCCGACGACAATAATGCAATTGGCCAGCTCATCGGCAGAGGTTGCCACATACTTACCAGCGATATTTTCGCGTTCACTTTCAGCTGAATTGTGCACATAATTATCATTCCCATCATCATCTTCATCAACATCATTTCTGCAATTCTCGGCATCATTATGCGAATTCCGTTCATTGTCGCTTGTAGATGTGCCATCACTCTCACTTTCGTGCGCCACATGCCAGGCACTCGCCTCCGCGCCAGCCTGCTCCTCACTAATGACCTTAACTGAATTCAAAACAATACCACAATCGGTGCGCTCTGTGTCCGTATCGTTGTCGGAGGAATCTTCAAGATTTGCATCCGACGACTGTGAATCATTTTCACTAGATGTCGAAGCACCGCGGCGGCGCTGACCGCGCGGCACACGATTTACCACAAATATCTTCGAGAAGTGTTTGCTCTTAGGGCGTCTATCGGCTATGGTGCCAGTGTCGTCGGTATCTATCGACTCAGAGGAACTCGAGCCGCTTGTCGTTGTATTTTCACTGCTCGTATTGGTATTTTGATCTTTAGTCGATGTAGCTGAACTGCGGGAATGCGCGCGCCTTGTACGTGAGTAGGATAGTTCCCCCTCCGCGCTCACACCCACATCACACTCGTCGTCGTCTTCATCATCTATGTGGCTCACAATCAGCGCATCGATGCCTGCAACACTAGCGATATCGTAACTGCGCTGTACTGAGCGCCGCGACCCGGACGCGACCCCCGACAAGTTGGACCCGTCTGAACGATACGATTTCGTATGCCTATTCTCGTCACTCGCAGTCACTTCCGATTCTGTATCGCCACTTGCTGCGGATTCGGCATCTGAAGAGGAGAACACATTCTCGCTTTGCAGATAGCCACCGGTATTTATGGCATTGCTTTTCAATTTGCCAATCGAAATCATTGCGCTGTACGATTTGGCTTGTTTTAAGCGAGTTTTCGAAATATTTTTTAACTGCTGGTTGCACGACGATTGTTGGTCTTTTAAGACGATTTCATCCTTCTTTACCGGTATTAACAAAAGTAGTTCAACATTTTCCTGTTGCTGTTTTACCCGCTCTGTAGTTCTAGATGCGTTCACTGCAGTCTTACAAGTGCTCGCCTTTTGGTTCTGACAACAACTAGTTTCAGCTACGCGCCGGCTCTCGCAGTCAACCGCGGAGTCAGCTCTGGTTCGCTCAATACCTTTCACGCTTTCAGCTGTTCTGTCAACGTCGCCGCTAACGTTGCGCGCTTTAGCAACATTGCTATTTCCGCACCGCAAGACCACCACCTTATCCGCTGTGTCACCGTCGTTAGAGCATTTGTCTACAGCGCCGTCGCTATAATTACAATCTGAGATGTTGTGTTTAGTCCAAGTAGTGGTGGTTGAGGAATTACTAAAAGTGCTGGCGTCAGCGTTGGTCTGCAAACGAGTTCTTACTGTTGTGTTATTGTTGTCGTTGTGGCTGGCTACCTTTATTTTATGTTGATTTTGTTTTCCTTCTGCCGTCGTTTTTTCTACTCTACTCAAGTGACGACGGCACAATGCTGGACTTTTGTTCAGGCTTAGGCTTTGTTCGCTATCGCCAGGCGCGTCGTCATAGAAATACGGTATGTTTTCTTCTAAGCGATCGCGACTCTGACTTCGACTGCGCGCTGGGGCTGCGCTCAACTGCCGAGTTGAGTTTACCTCAACGTCTAAGCTTCTTTTTGTTACACCTTTTGTTTTTCTTTGCAAAACAATTGGTGAAGTTGATGTTGTTGTTTTTGCGACTTGTTTGCCCAGCGAGTTTTTGTTTGCTTGTTTCGTGCTCTGGTCACTCCGTGACGACGATGGCGATGATGACGCCGCGCTCGCCTTTTCAACAACCGCACTGCTCCAGTCTTTGTCTGTGTCACTATAAATATTAGTTTTATTTTTCTGCTCGCTGTTGTTGCTAATATTGTTGGCTGGTTGGTTAGCTATGTTTGTCGTGCGTAAGGTAATACAAGTTTTGGCATTGCGGCTGTTTGTTTCGTTGCGGCCTACCTGTTCGCCTGCAAGTTTTTCTTGCGAATGCGCAAACTCGTTTGATTCCTCACCTTTTTCAGCTGTTTTCAAAAGTTGTCTTTGCTTTTGCTCCAATTGTTGTTGCTGTTGTTTTTGTTGGTGTGGGTTTTGTTCTGGGAAATATTTTTCAGTACTAATAGCAGACGCACAAATATTTGGTAATAACTGCCAGCTAGCAGCTGTTACTTCCTCTTCAACATCCGCGTGGGTTTCGAATTCTGTAGGCTTATCAGCCAAAACTTTCGCAGAACGTTCAATATCAGCGCCGTCAGCTCGCAAGGGCTGCTTATCGGTACTACGCGCACGAATTCGTACTTTTCTGCTGTCACTATACACTGCTGTAGCTGGACTTTTGCTGCCTATAAATGTGGGCGTTTCATTTTCATGTGTTTCACTCGCGTTCACCTCAGCAAAAGCATGCTGATCCGACTCACTGAATTCACGAATCGATTGCGTCGACGGTTTTGTTAATACTAATGTTGGTGGTTCGCGCATACCCAATGTGAACTGCTCACCGCGATTATGTTCAGCGCTGGCGTGTTTGCTTACGTTGTTTGTATTGGTATAACTTAGAGTCTGATTAGTTTCAATGCTGGTGTCTGCTGGTTGATACAATGCTGTTGTTGGTGTGGTCGTGGCAACACCATTTTTGGATTGTGTGCCAAAGTTGTTGTGGTGATGGTACAGCTGTTGGGGCATTGCTTGCTGCTGCAGACTGTTTGCAGTAAACCGGCTCAAACTACCAAATTCGCCCAAACCACTGCTGGTCAACGTCTCCAGACTGCCCGCTGTGGCTGTTGTGCCATACCCTGATGACGAGCATTGCGAGTACATAGAGGCACTCAGTTCTGGTGTGGACGATTTGAAAGCGTCGCGAGCTAGCCTAGCATGCATACCCAACATTGATGCGCCACCTACGTCATCGCCTGGCTCCTCCGGTTTGCCGGCGCTCAGCTGCTGGTAACTTGCCGCATTCGAATACGCTGCCACCACCGCTGCTGCGGCAGCTGCTTGTAAGTTGTTTGTTGCCTCGCTAGTCTGATGTGCCAGTCCGGGTGCAGCTGTGCCCCACAACTTCTGCAGCGAAGCGCGTAACTGCTCGTCCTTGTCCATGATGTTCAGTATATCCGAATGGCTATTGGTATGTGCATTCGCTGCGCCCTTCAGCAGCTCGCTCGGGTGCCAGTTTTGAAAGGCGGCCATGGGTACTGGTATTGGCACTGGCACTGGTATGGGCACATATTGCGGTTGCGGCTGCGATGGTGTCGCTGGCGCCGCTTTAGTAACGCCACCACAACTACATACGCCGCCGACAATAGGCGTGGCCGCATTTTCCTGCGCCTGCTTGGTGGCGGCATGATGGTGATGTCGATAATGGTGATGATGATGCTTACTTTCTTTGCCCACAAAACGCGTTTTTATGCGTGTCTTCATGCTCAACTGCTGGTGTTGATTTTGTTGTTGTTGCTGATGATGCTGGTGATGTTGTTGACGACCAGTCGAACTGGGCGCCACCGCTGCGTTTGTTGGTGCACGCACGAAATAGCCATCAGAGCTGGTTTGCGAAGAACTTTCACCTTGCATGAGCATCTCCTCATCAGTGCCGGTGTCACTTTCGCGTATGCGCGGACAGTAGACAAGCGGTTTGCGGTAGAGTAGCGGTGATTCGGCGGGTGAGGCAGTGCTCTCGCTAGACTTGAAATCACGCATTGCGGCACTGCGACGCATGACCAACGGTGAGGGGCAGGGAGAGAAGAATATTTGTTTAGTTACCGAGCCGCTAGTGCAAATCATCGACGGCTCAAAGTAATCCCAATCGCAATCGTCAATGGTGATGCTGCTGTAGTTGTGTGTGGAAGAAGTGGTTGAGCTGCTATCTTCGAATTCCTCATCCTTGCCGGAGGAAGATGAGTCGGAGGAGTTGATAAAGACAAGCTTGAATTCATCGGCTTCCATATTGTAGTGTTGATGATTGAATGTAATCGATTTAAATTCCAACTCCGAGGAGGTCTCCATATCATAGACATCTGTGCAGGATGAGAGGAACGCCAAAGCGTTCACTTGAGTGAAAAATATTCAAGCTTGTATAGGGGTTAGTGGTTAAGAAACATGACCCGTTGTAAAGTTGTTCTAAGGTTCACAAGCTACTTTGGCGATGATGTGCTTGCTTTGAAGCCCTTTATTAGCCACTGTTAAAAAAGCCGACACCAGATTTTGTTAGTTTGGTTAGTTAGACGAATTTTTCACTAAATACCGACACCAATTTAAGCATAGAATATAATGCAATTGAAGTATGTTTTCGAGGACATCACACGCTGCCTTTATATGTAGAAATATAGTTTAGAATTTCGGACCATGCTGCTGTCAGAAAGTGCTTATATCTTCTATATATAAATACACCACAAGAAAATTTTGCAATTACTTTTTTGAAGGCACCGCTCGCTCGATTTCAATGAAACATATACCGATTTAAAGGATATAACTTCCTCTAATCCAGAAATATTAATCCCGATACATGAGGGCGTGGCATCTGTCATATAGACTAAAATGTGAAAACTATTTGATCTCTAAAACTAATTATGCTGGGGAACTGAAACTTAGCAAAGATGCATAGATTGTAAATACCGTACTTACGGCGAAAAGTGGTAGATTTTGGAAAAGGGGTCGTGGTGCTGCCCATACAAACTGAAATTCTCGTATCGGTTATATCAGGAACCACTTATTCTGCCATGAAAAACAGCTTCTCATAAAAGTACAATCAAAGTTCCGAGTAGGCGTAAAACTGTACGTTCCTCTCTTTGTGTGACAACATCAAGGCGCCCGCCACCAATCGGGGGAGAAGCTCGGCCAAACACTAACATATGTGTAAGCGCCAATCTACTATCATTTTTTGAATCTTTAGCTTTGGGATAGTGTTTAGTCATGCTTAAACGTACGTAGATAAAAACCAATTCTGTGTATTGTCTGGCGGTACGCCAGCCTTCAGTACCTTATTCCGATAAATTTGCAGCTTACTACATGCCTAAATCCTTGTGGTATATGCAGTTTCAAAGGGTTGGACCGTTGGCAGAGGAGAGGGCTGTTATACGAGTTGATTTGAGGGGGCATTGAAGAGGTAGTTAATGTCGTGCGGATCATATTTACATACATAGGATGGATATGTCGGCGTTAATTATGGAGAAGTAGGAGTTTAACCTACTAAAATATTCAGAACGGATGATTGCCACAGTAACGCGGTCTAGCGAGGTAACTCGTGCTCTTCGTCTACGATAGGTGGTAGCTGGTCTCCGATGATGGCATTCAAGGACAAGAGTTGATTTAAACGGCGGTTCAGCGGATGACGTACAATGGAGGAGGCCCTGTTTCAAACAAGAACTGCTAACTCAGTTTGATGTTATGCTCCTTGAATGGGAACATTTGGGCATTTCTGAGAGATAATCACTCTATCTTAGGTACCCAAATTAAAGAGGCATCGGATTGTGAAAGCGCACTCAGGCAGAGGAGGATATATCGATGTAAAAGTTAAACTCTGTTGGGGAGTACACATTATAATGTAGGTTCCCCTATTTAATTTTTCTAGGTTTAGAGGCTTGATTTTTAAAAGGCGACCAAAATTCGAAGTTTAAAGAAAGGATTGGGAATTTCGTACTAGGGGATTTTCGGGGTCGCAAATACGAATCCAGAATTGAAATATTCAAAATGTTGGATCCAATATGGCATCGGGCCATGCGAAAAATTTAAAAGTTTTTGCGCGTTTTTTACTTACCAGAAAATTTAGTAAGTATAAATAGATGTGCGAAAACATCAATCATTTTTGAAATCGTCTCGGATTTTTGTTATTAAAATTAAAAATACACCCCGTGTCATAATTGTATATGGACAAAGTTAAAAAAATTGTCTGTTTGCTATTTAATTTTAGATATTTAAAAAAATATAGTTTGTTCTTTAACAAAGACCGAATAAATTCAAGTTAAAGAAAAATCAAAAAACTTTCGTAAAAAGTTCGAGATTTTTAATTAGATTCGTTAAAATTTGTGCAATATTAAAGAAAAATCAAAACACTTTTGAAAAAAATTCGACGTTTTGAATTAGATTCGTTATAAAGATTTTGGTTATGCAGTTTTATAGCCCACTCAATTTTAACGCAAGTCTGAAGTAGCTGCGACTTGCGGTTGATTTTTGCCATTTTTTTTTTTGTTTACGATGCCAGTCATTTTGTTCCATACGAAGTATGTTCAACGATTTTTCATATTGCTAAAAATTAACGGTAAGTCTCAGCTACTTTAAACTTGCACGCTATCGGTATCAGTGGAAAATTCTTGTCACAGTTTTTACTACGGAGAAATATATGCAAAAGTTTAAATTTGTCAGTAAAAAGATATTTGTCACCGATACAGAATTGGGCTATAAATTTCCAGTGGCAGATTTTGGCAGCTGAATTTGGTTTTACTCAGTAGCTATTAATTTTCTACGTAAAAAAGAAAAAAAGGTTTTTTCTTAACAGCGGTCGTCCCTCGGCAGGCAATGGCAAACCTCCGAGTGTATTTCTGCCATGAAAAACAGCTTCTCATAAAAATACAATCGCCATTCGGAGTCGGCGTAAAACTGTAGGTCCCTCCGCTCTGTATGACAACATCAAGGCCCACGCCACAAATCGGAGGAGAAGCTCGGCCAAACACTAACATATGTGTAAGCACCAATCTATTATTATAATGCAATAATGTTGTGCTTGGTCGAAGACCACATGCCGACTGTAAATAAAGAGGGGACTTAGGGTACAGACCGTTATTGTGAACGGTTTACGCTTGTTAGCGGATACCTTTAGCCAAATCAATGAAACTTTGTTTTTGCAATTTTGGCGGCAATTGTGGATTTTGGCCGGACTGTGCGATGCCAACGAGTTTCGTGGACAGATTTCGTGGTCTTATTTTATTAAAGTGTCAGAAAGGAGGGGGGAAGGACGTTGGTGTAATAAGGCAAACAGCAATAAGGCAAATTTATGTTATTTCCCAATTGAAATTGAAATAACACAAATTTGCTTTATTTCATTTCTGACTGAGCAATAATATCTACTTTTAAATTTAACAAATGAGTAATAACGCAAAAAGGTGCACATAGTCACCCAGCCACAATTGACAAAATCTTTGCCTGGAAATTGACATTTTGACCACATCAAGTAGCCTTATGTCGATTTGAAATGGTTACACTATAAACTGACTTTATGATCGTTTTGAATTTGCATTTATGACCATCTACGGCATTTCGTGTGGACCTTATGACGATAATAAAATGCCACTAATTCCCAATCGGAAACTTAAAGCAACCAAATTCAAAGTTTCAATAAAAAGTTAGTATAAGTTAAATGGACGGTAAAGTGCGAGAGGGAAAAATTAATACGTGTATACATATGTATGTCGCGCCCCTTTCGCAATTATGCACTAGCGCATTATATCCGTTAAAAAAAAGAATAATATTAAAACACCAGCTAACCGATGAAACTGTTATTACGTGTTAAAATAAAAAAAAACGTATTTTACTTATCCGTGATATATTTTTTTCATACAACTAAAATTCAATACAAACTACATGCGTACACATGTACATTACACTGCATCACCAAAAAAAAGTAGCGGCTTTTCCGCCGGGACTACAAAATTTATTATATTTGAAGACGTCCACCAAAATCTTTCGGAAAAATATTAAGATTTACGTGAGCTGGACCGATTGAAGAAATACCTCCAAAAATGGAGTTTTTATGCAAAAAAATAGTTTCTTAAAGAACTTTTTGAAAAATTCGGAATCGTAATATTAGGATTTTAAATGGCGTTTTTTTAATTTTTTTCAAAGGTTGGTTTAAGAAAAACTTGATTAACTGGGCCAAAACTATTCCAATGTAGACTTGTGAGGCATCAGTGGAAAGGTATTTTCCCACTCTAAGTAAAATAAACCTGTTTTCGCAATTCGGCAAACTCGAAATTGATTTTAAACCCATGGTTTTTTGGCAAATTTGCTTAGAATTATATAGTCGAAAAAATCTCCCATACAAATTGACCCGCCTTAATATAAATGTATGCATTTATTTCAAAGCCCCTTTCAATGGAACCATGATCTGTGTGAGCTTTACAACGAAAACATGGGGTTAAAATACAACGGCTCGGCGGTCATGTCTTTCGAATGGACAGAAACGTTCCAGCTCTGAAAGTATTCAACGCGGGTCGCGATGCTGGTAACAGAGGAAGGCCTTCTCTGCGATGGAAAGACCGGGTGGAGAAGGAATTTGCTTCACTTAGCATTTCTAATTGACATTAGTTGGCACAGAAGACTCGTCCNTCGTTCGAATGGACAGAAACGTTCCAGCTCTGAAAGTATTAAATGCGGGTCGCAATTCTGGTAACAGAGGAAGGCCTTCTCTGCGATGGAAAGACCGGGTGGAGAACGAATTGGCTTCACTTAGCATTTCTAATTGACATTAGTTGGCACAGAAGACTCGTCCAAAATCGCTTAGGCGGGAGCAGCGCCAACAGAGGTATTAAATATGACTCATAATGGGCAGTTTTTGAAATGAATATAATTGCACTACAATTGTTTAATATTTTTTAATAAGCAGGATAGTTAGGTTTACTAAATATAATGTCAGCTTTTCGCAAAACATTTTTTCTGTTCGGCAATTTGTAACTATATGTTAACTTTCCTCATTTTATCTGCATTTTGCAATCAAAACACTATAGGGGTATTCTCTGAGCCTTGCGGGGTTTGCAAAGCTTTCCCATGCGAAAACCGGGGTTTACCGAGCAATCCGTGCAATCAGTACACTGTGTAATCGCTTTGCAAGACTCAGAGAATACCACTTATGTATCCACAATTTGAACTCACCACGTACGTGCTTATCGTGCGCTTCTACTGTTTGGAAGGTGTCAAATATAAGCAGAAGCACAATTCATATCAGATTTTTGGTCATTAATTTGATAAGATTAGTGTTATTGTTTTTTTTGCATAGATCAACGTACTTGCGTATATGTCTACGTCA